CTCTTGAGAGACCGACACTGATTTCACGAGCAGTGCAGCGACAACAGAACCCTAGGCAGTTCTAGGACTCGGTAGTACCGGGATTTTCCTGACCCGCGCGCTATCCTTTTTGTGCGCCCTTGCAGCTCGGACGATGGTCCTCGCGCACGAAATCCCCGCAGCCCCGCCCCCCCTTGAACCGAAAACAAGGAATTCTACATGCCCATTAAAAAATTACGGTCCCACCATGGTGGGACCACGAATGGTAGTGTGAACCGAAGCCGTTCACGAGTGCTCTAGAAGCACTTAAGGACAGCCAGGGCATGTGTTGTCCGTCCAGACCCGGCTCGCTGGCCTTTCAAGAAACCATCTGTCCCCCCTTGCAAAAACGGGAGTTGCAGGCAGGCGAACAAGAGCGCTCTAGTCGACTTCGCCTGCCGACTCCCTGACAGCTCGTGAAATGCATTTTCAAGAGTGACGCGGCAAGAGTAGTGCAGTGACGACAACTCTTGTCGCTTGCAAATGTTACATCTGACAGCTCTTGACCCGTGAAACTGCCGCCGGGTTCACGAGTAAGTGCAGCGGCGCGGCGCTATGAAAATGCTCATTTCACGAGTAGTGCAGCGAGGCCCAATCTTTCATCACCTGTTTATTATTCTTTTCAGTCTTTGAATTGTTTATACTTGTATTTTTTTCGGTTGCTGGTTTCGCATTGTCGTCGTTTGTCTTGATGTTGTTTCCACCGCTGCCTTACGCTATTTGCTTGCCCATCCGTCCCACCCCCCCCATTGTCTTGTTTTTTTTTTTTCGTTTCCCCGTTTTTTTTTTTTGGCTCCGCGATGTAGGGGACAGATCGAAAAGGGTGGGGAAAGCTGCTTCACGCATGGCGAAACTATGATCTGGGGTGGGGGGAAGAAGATCTCACTGTAATCTCTCCCCCCCCAATCTGTTTCTTTTTTTTTCTCGCCTTTTTCCTTTTGTTTTTTTTATTGGCTTCGCGATGTAGGGGACAGATCGAACAGGGTGGGAAAAGCTGCTTCACGCATGGCCATAGTATGAGTTTGGGTTGGGGGGAAGAAGATCTCCATCTTCTCTCCCCCCTCAATGTCTTGTTTTTTTTTTTTTCGTTTCCCCGTTTTCTTTATTGGCTTCGCGATGTAGGGGACAGATCGAACAGGGTGGGAAAAGCTGCTTCACGCATGGCCAAAGTATGAGTTTGGGTTGGGGGGGAGAAGATCTCCATCTTCTCTCCCCCCCCAATGTCTTGTTTTTCTTTTTTCGTTTCCCCGTTTTTTTTATTGGCTTTGCGATGTAGGGGACAGATCAAACAGGGTGGGAAAAGCTGCTTCACGCATGGCGAAAGTATGAGTTTGGGTTGGGGGGAGAAGATCTCC